CTGCTCGGGACTGCGCGCCACGACGGCGACCCGCGTGCCCGCCTCCCGGCCCGCGGCGATGAGGTTCTCCGCGGGCACGAAGACGGCGTCGTCCTTCGGAGCGGCCAGGGTACCCACAGGGCAGTGCCAGCTGGCCCCTTTTCTCGCCGTGCTGATCCTCCTCCTCCTCCTCCTCCTCATTATTTTCCCCATCCGTTGCGTCGTTCTCCTCCTCCTCCTCCTCCTCCTCCTCCTCCACCGTCTCTTCCTCCTCCTCCTCCTCTTCTTCCTCCTCCTTCTCTTTCTACCCCTTCTCAGCCTCCTCCTCCTCGTCCTACTCCTCCTCCTCCTCCTCCTCCTCCTCCTCCTCCTGCCCCCTCCTCTGTGTGTGTGGAGGTGGGCGAGATGCAGGGGTTATTTCTTGCTGTTCCAGAACTTCGCAATCAGCCCAACACCCCAGTGGGTAACGGTGATTTTCGTGTGTCATGTGATATGCTGAATTTCAAGTTCATTCGTCGGGTCAACATCTTACTAGAAACATCGCGCGCGCTCAAACTCTCTCTCCCAATTTTGGAACCCATGTCGCGGAAGAGGGACCGTGTCCGACTGAGCAGACGGGGGCCGCGGGTTGCGAAGCGAACCGCCGCGACCAAGGCGTGATTCGGGACTCGGGTTGGGGTGTGTGCTGTCCGGCTGATTACAAATATGCCATACACATGCATGCGTGTAAGCACGGATTTCCCCCAGCTGTGGCCCCCCTGTCCCCGCGCTCCCCACCAGCAAAGGGTCGGCGGGGGGCCGGGGGGGAGTAGGTGCGGAGGCAGGGTAAGTCGAAGGGATGAGAGGGGGGGCGGGCAGGGAGGACGGATAGCGGAGGGGGGAAAAGGACAGAGAAAGGAGGACTCCATAGCACCCCGCAGCTGCAGGTAAGAGTGAGGGGGCGGCGGGGTCGTTGGCAGTCTGCGAAGCTATGAAGAAGCCGCCGCAGGCGACGATACCGCTGCATACCCAACTGCTTGCATTCACTCTCCGGTTTGTGCTGCACGATCGTGGCGTGGCCATGGGGGATCTCACTGCGCGTGCTTCACAGTCGTGATGCGGACGGGCTGCGCAGGTCGCTGCACTGTGTGTTCGTGAGCCGCGTGCCTGCGTCACTGCTTCGCCGCTTCCTTGTTGGTCGTGCTTCACAGTCGTGATGCGGGCGGGGTGCGTGTATCGCACAGGGGAATGTTGTATGTTGACCCTGCTTCGCACTCTTGCTTTGCATTCTGGCTTTGCTTCTGCTTCACACCCGTGTTGCGGGTGATTGACCTGCTTCACAGTCGTGATGCGCCTCCTGCTTCGCATTCTTGCTTTGCGTCTGCCTCCAAATTGCGCGGCCAGTGGTTGACCTGCTTCACAGTCGTGATGCGCCTCGCGTGGCTGTGTGTGACTTGTCATCGAGCTTGAGTGTGACGGCGTGTCGCATTTCATTGTCCTGCCTCACTTTTGTGGTGGGCTCCGCGAGGATCGGATTCTATGAATTGCCCGCTTCACATGTATAGCGATTGTCCCACCATGCTTGAAAACTCCTGCGGCACGGCGTCTCCCTAAAAGGATGGTGTCCAGTTGGTGTCTTACCCGCCGTTTCACCCCCCTGTCGTTTCCTCTCTTCCCTCCCTCTCCCTTGCCCTCCCCGTCCCCGTTCCCCCCTGCCCGCCCTCTCGCGCCCTCCCCTGCTTCCCCTCGGCTCCTTTTTCTCTTCCTCCGCCGGCGTACTCCCCCAGCCGGCTGAGAAATAGCTATCCCGATCGTGTGCGGTGCATAAGTTGCAGTGTGGCGCGCCGTATCGGTGTCTGGTTGTCGCGTTGCCAACAGCTACACAGACGGCCGCATCGATGGCGGATGGGCCGGCACGCCCGAAATGTAGCAGATGTCATGAAGCACGCGCTTGAGCGTCAGTCCATTGGGGATTTCATTGGCCCGGGTAGCGGTCTGGTCCTGCTTCGAAGTCGTGATGCGCCTCCTGCTTCGCACTATTGCTTTGTTTCTGCCTCAAAGTTGTGCTGCGGGCGATTGATCTGCTTCGCAGTCGTGATGCGCCTCGCGTGGCTGTGTGTGACATGTCTTCGTTGCAAGTCGTCCCGCTCCACTTGTGTAGCGCTTTTGTTGCCGCCGCCGTCGTGCGTCGTCGTCGTCGTCGTCGTCGTTGCCATCGCTGCCGCCGACGGCGTTAGCAATGGGGGGGGCTATTTCGAATATTATCGCACCCGCCTTGTTCCTTCTCCTCCTCGTCGTCCTCTTCCTCCTCTTCCTCCTCTTCTCCTGACTCGGGGTAGGTGGCGGGGCATCCCGCTGCTGCTCGGACCGCCCGACAGCACCGCCAGGTCTGACGCTCCCCGTGCTTCACAGTCGTGATGCGCGCCGCTCGGCTACTCCGGTGAGGGGGGATCCCTCCGCGTGTTACTTTGTGTTTGTCTTTCCCCTTGTCCTTGTCCCCCTCCCGCTCTCGCGTTCTTGTGCTTGCAGCAAGGCGCCCCTCCACCTCGCAGTCGGGATGGGCCATGTTTCGTTCGTTCCCATGCCTTTTGGGCTTGGGGCTGCCCGCGGTGCTCGCGGGGCCCTCTCCCCCTCTCGTGCGCCCCTCCCTCTCCCCTCGTGCACAGTTTCACCGCGGGTGTCCCGCAGTAGGGTCGTTGGCTCCCGGTGCCCAGCCCGCTGGCGCAGCGCCTGGTCCGCTGGTGTGCCCTCCGAGGTGTCTGCGGGGGCCCACTCGTCGTCCCCAGGGTCGCCCACCAGCTTCACCTGGCCTTATGGCCAGGGGAAGCGGGGCGTCCTGGTGGGGGGGGAGCGGGCGTCGGCAGGCCTGTGGAGATAGTGAGGCGGCCCGTAGCTCCGGCGAGTGGCGCCTCCCGTGTCCGCGGGAGGAGCGGCTAGTTGCGGGCGGCCTGCCCCTGCTTGCCCTGGTACCAGCAGGGGGGGGAAGGGGTGTGTGACACCACCTCCTGTCCCCCGTCGGCTGCACGACTCCGACCTGCTCACGCCGGGCAGCTCTGAGCCGCAGCGTCCGCGGAACGCGCGTCGGGGGTCGCCGGCGCGCGCGCCGTGGAGGCTGTTATGATTGCGAAATGCGAAATGCGAAAAAAATTGAAACATTACACCACGGGCCCGCCGCAGGCGCAGAACTGTTCGTGAAAGTAACGTGGGACAGCCGCAAGTTGGTCGCATGGTGGGTCACGGGGTGGGTCGCGGGGTGGGTCGCGGGTGGGTCGTGGGCGAGGACGACGACGACAACAACGCAACACAAAAATCATAATCAGCGCCGTGGATTCAACCACACACACAGGGACAATGAATGACGGTCGACCCCGTCGCGCTGATTATTGCTAAGGCTGAGGAGAGCGGGGAGGAAGGATTGATGGGGGTGGGTACAAGGATGGTCCCTCCTCTTACCTTTCGTTTTCCGCCTCGTCCACCTCCTCATCAGCTGTGGCGGGGCTCTCGCGCGGCCATCTCTGTGCTGCCTTGGGGTCCTGGGGGCTCGGATTCGCTCCTCTTGAGCCTTCGAAGGGCCGTCTTGGAACCTTCTTGGAAACACAGCTTCGAGCAGCTCTTGGACGCAGTGGGCCTGGATTTCCTCACCTTCCACCGGGACCGACGCGTCGGGCTTGGCACCCGCGAACAGAAAGAGGGCACGATCACCGAAAGGTGTCCGTCTTTTTGGTCGGCGCACGACTTTCTGGAGCGACGAAAGGGGACACCTCCTCCGGCAAGTGTGCCGAGTGCGCGCCCTCTCCTCCAGCAGCTGCGCACGGAACGATGCCGAAGGCACCGAGGACAGGTCGATGCGTCGGCCTTGTCCGAGAAGCCCCGGCAGACCTCCCGGGGTGCTCTTTTTGCCAGCGGAGCGCTTCTCGAGAAAGCACATCTCTGTTCCTGTGCGGCGCGACCCCTCTTGGAGGGTCAGAGGAGGGGTCTGCAACAGTGGGTCTGCGAGGGGGGCTGCATGGCCCATGCATGCTCAATATGGGGGCTGAATGGCCCAGGATGCTTTTTGCCAGCAGAACGCTTTTCGAAAACACATCTGTGTACGTGTGCGGCGACCCCTCTTGGAGGGTCAGAGGAGGGGTCTGCAACAGTGGGTCTGCGAGGGGGGCTGCATGGCCCATGTGTGCTCACTATTCGGCGGTGGACAAACCTCCCTTTAGTAGACCTCCCCTTAGTGAAAACGGCCTGGGACCGAAACCGACGGACATGGACCCGCAAAAATGACGGCCACGACGCCCTCTCGCGAACCGAAGACGGCCAATTCCTTTGTCGACGTGTCAGGGTAGGAGGTCTATCCACCTCCGAAATATACAGGTCATGTATGTGATCGGGTGCGGTTGGCATCCAGTGTTGGCGGTCATGGAGGGCCAGGTCGGGTGGGCGAAGAGGCTCTTCGCCTGCCCGGGGGCGCCGGTGCACAGAGCAGGGGTGCCCTTTGCTGCGGCGGGGAGGCGTGGCCGAGCTTGTGTTATGTCGGACGTGTCGCCCTACAGGGGATTTTCGACGAGCAATAAAAAATACCCAAAAATGCCCCAAGAAGTTAAACCATACTAAAACATAATCCCCTGACTATTTTTTGACTATTTTTAGGGTATGTTCTATGTTTCGTCGAAAATCCCCCTGTAGGGGGACAGGCCCGACTTAAAGCTTGTGCCAGCTATCGTCGCCGAGGGCCAGGGCGGATCTTTCGGCGACTTTTGGAAGCAACTCAACGCCCTCTGCCGCATCACGCCCTCCTGGTGGGGAAAGCAGACCCCGAATTGCGACTGCGTCGGGCTGGGTTACTTTCCAGGTGCATCCTTCATGTAAGCGGTGCGGTGAGCTCATGGTCTCCGTAGTGCGCATGGGCGAATCGGTCCTTGATCTATCTGCGTTGCAGCGATCGTTGGAGTACTTTCCCGAAGGACATGTACACGCTCCTTACTTGGTGTTGCCGTTCGTCTTGCTATGCATGTTTTCCTTCCATGTTCTCTCGTTTTCCAACTTTTTCATGCAATATACGGTTTCTCCCATGTTCTCAAGCTTCCCCAGCTTCTGACCTAAGATCGACTGCTCCTGCTGTACACCACGACGACGTGGAACATCTC